GGCCGGCCCCAAAACAATTTAAAAACATTGAGAGCATTGACCACCACATTCTTCTTCTTGCCAACAAGATTCAGCCTCCAAAATCCTCACCCTGGGCTTTTTCTTAAATATGGAGAACATAAAGCCCCTCCCCTCCACCCCCACCAGCACCCCCAAGGCCTGGCAAATGGAGCCTAACTCTCTCTAGCCCTCCCCCCTCCTTCAACTGCAGACCACACTTGCCTCCCTTGGGTACTACCCTACTCAGCTGGCGGGCCCCCCTCCTTCCAGCACCCATGGGGGTGCTTTGCAACTATTTGTGGGGTTTCTGATCGAGGCCCACAAGTGCCACCATCAAGGACCCTGTCTGTCACCCATGTCCTCGGTGGCAGGCAGGAGGGGCTCAGAGCAAACAGGTGACCGAGAATTTAGAATGAATAATCTGCAAGGAGGGCTCAGGATAGAGGGACGGGCCAGGGCAAGGCTGTGGAGCTGCCGAGAACCACAGCTCCTTGTGCATCTGCAGAGGCAGCCGCTGCACTGCACAGGTGCCTGGAGCAGAGCCTTGTAGACAGGCAGCACAGTCCTGCCCAGCCAAGCCTCATGCAGAGCAAGGCTGCTTGGGCTGGCTGTGCATCCCAGGCAGAGGTGGCAAGGCTCCGGGGACTGTGGCAGCCTGGGGCCCGTGGCTCAGATGCCACAGGTCAGAGACTACCTGCTGGCCTCCTGGGCCTTGCAGTGAGACCACAGACAGGCAGCGTGGGAAACGGGCATAGAAAACCCCAGGCTGGCCGCTCCACCTCTGGATGCTCTGTTTGCATTCCCTCCACCCAGCAGAGCCCGCCACAGAGGGAGGACAAGACCGATCTGTTTATACAGCTGAAGCCGTCCGATTAAATTAAAAATCACAGCGACAGCAAAACAGGGATTAACGCTCCCAGCTGCCCGACGCTGACAACTGCCTAGAGACACGCTCGGTCTAGGGGTGACTGCCTGGCTGACAAAGAAAACAAACCATGGCTCCAAAATAAAGAAGATGGGAAAGCCAACAGCTCTGGGGCAGCCCAGAGTGGGGACTCTGAGGACAAGATGCTTGGACACGCCTCCTGGCAGGGGCCCTGTGGAGCTCCAGCCTCTCCAAGCCTCGGTTTCCCTACCGTCCAGCTGTGAGGCTAAGCACCACCCAGAGCCCCTCCTCATCATCACCACTGCTAGGAGAACTTGAGTGACCACCTGCTAAGCCTCAGTTTCCCCAGCCAAGGCTGTGGCCCACGGCCCCTCACCGCGTCCTCCCTGACAGGACGGCAGGGGAACTCACGCAGGTGACCTTCCGGTAGATCTGGGCTGCGTTCTGGCACTCTGAGTAGGGGTACTCTGAGGTGGCCATCTCCAGCATGCACATCCCAAAGGCGTAGACGTCCACGGACTCGTCATAGTGCTCCTCGTACATCTCGGGCGCCATGAACTCGGGGGTACCTGTGCCGGGGGCAACACACGCAGCAGTCAGCTCGCCGTGGGCCTGGGACACGTCCTGGGAGCCCCTCAGCCCCTCCGAGCCCCACTCCCCCTGCCCCATCCAGGCCACACTCCAACCACCCCCTCCCCGGGCTGGGCCTGCCCCACGCTCGTGCTCCCTGTCCTAGAACCCAGGATTCAAACGCGCATGCTCTACAGACGAGTTTCCGAAAATGTTCCCTGGAACGTCACGATTCCAGGGTAAGAGATCATTTCACAGCACCATCTCCTGCCCACAGAGCAGGAGAATGCGGCTTACCAGGGACACTGAGCCCAGGAGAAAGCAAACCCTAAGCACCCCTCCCCCGCATCTATGGGCACTGTGTTCCTGAAAGGCTCAGCATCGGCCAGCGCCCGGACACCCTGGAGCAGAGATGTGATGGTCATTACAGAGTTACTTACCACTGCAAAGCCCCAGAAGGGCCCTAAATATCCCCAGACAGGGGAATGGTTAGGTACACTGTACACACCCCTGTGACAGAGTGTCACCTAGCACATACAACTACGTCATGGCTGAAGACAGCCGGGGGCAGTAAGGGGAGGACTGGGCAAATGCCACACCTGACAAGTGACACAGACTTTGTTAGGATGGAACTGCTCACGCTGCATCAAACCCAAAAGGTGCAAAAACAACGTCTGCACTGAACTTTTTTTTTTTTTTGTCTTTTGTCTTTTTCCGTGTCCGGCAACGGATCGCAACCCTCAGTGTTGCCCCTGTACCGGACCGGGGACCGGCAACCCTCGGGGTCGCTCCCGCGCCTCGCTCAGCCAGTGAGCGGGAACCGGTCTGTATGTGGGATCCGAACCCTCGGGCGGGAGCGCCGCCGCGCTTCCCAAGCGGCGCACCATTCAGTGCGCCACCGGGCCGGCCCTTCTAGTCTTTTTTTAAAGCAGATGCAAAATAGCACAGACTAATTATTGCATTAAAAAGGACATGTTGGGTGCTAGCTTGTTAGCTCAGTTGGTTAGAGCACGGTGCTGATGACACCAAGGTCCAGGGTTCCATCCCTGTCCTGGCCAGCTGCCAACATGTACGAAAAAAAAAAAAAAGTGCGTGTTAGGGTTTCATTTATCCACCATTTCAATTTAACATGTATTACATGTTTAACAGAAAAGTTAACATTTTGAGTAAAAATGCACCAACCAGCTGCAAGAATGTATGTTTACATTTATGAACATGCATGGAGAGCTCTGGAAGAATCCGTCAGAAATAACAGGAAAAGGGTGGAGGGTGGAGTCAGAGGGACCTTGCACTGGGAATTTTTATCTATTTGAATTTTTGAACCACATGATTACATTGAAATTTTTTGTACTGGCAATTTTTAAGTTAATATTTTAAAGTTTCTTTCCATCCTTAGCTTGTCACAGAACAGTGAACGTGCTGCCCAGGTTGGGGCCAGAAGCAAACATGCCACAGAAAAGCCAGAGCAGGGAGGCCCAAGCTATGGTCAGAGCCCAGCCTGGTGACAACATGAACACCTGCTCCCAGGCCCCTCCCACCCCCTGGTGTGACCAGGGGTGCCCTGGCAGCCTCCTGTGTGTGGGCCCAGACCGCTGGGGCCACTGAGGAGGGTCCTCGGTGAGAAGTGATGGCTGATTCAGAAGGAAGCCCCAAGCTGCAGGAGGGATGTGCTCACCCCCCAGGGCCATCTCAATTGGCCTCATGCCACCCACACTAACCAAACCCTGTGACACCATCTGCCAGGGGCCGTTCAGGATGACTTGCCCTATGACAGCAGAAAGGGACTGAGGTAAAGCCCGTTCTTGCTCCAGGGGTGCCAACCCAGAGCCTCGGGACACATCTTGGGTCTTTGCCCAGCCGTGTCCATCCACAGGGAAGAGCTTGAAGGGAGCCCAGTCCCCAGGGCTGCCGGCAGGGAGCTGGGAGCTGAGCTAGCCACTCCCTGGCACCTGCAGGATCCCTACTTGCCCGCTGCCCACACAGCAGCAGGTCCCAGACAGGAGGCAGCAGCACCCCTGCGTTTGATCACTTCTGAGACCCTCAGGAAACGTGGACTCTGCTCTGTAAGAAATACCCCAAGGCCCCAGATGGCCTGGCTCTGAGGGGTGGGCTGTGCGTGTGGGGGCAGAGGGACCCGAATAACGCCTGCTCTGCACACATGCTCAGACACGGGCATGCTCGACTCTCTTTTCTTTCCCTCACACTGTAGCCATTTAAATCCGAATTGTAAAAATAACCTGTGTGTGTGTGTGTGCTTGCATTCACATATATGCATACATGTGTGTCCAGTGGACAGTCTCACCCACCGTCCCACTCCCTGGACAGCCTGTGGCCACATCCCCTCACACTCGTCCCCACCCGAGGTGCCTGCAGACGTGTCTGCATGTGAAAGTTAGGATGTCCAGGCCCTGGCGAGCCCCCACCCCAAATCCCTCCTGCAGGGGCAGACCAGGGACCTGCTGGAATGGCCTTTCTTATTCTTTTTAAGGAGAGAAGCCACTGTGGTTACCAAAAGTGGGCAAAAGCGGCATCTCTGCTGCTAGCAGAAGGCGACAGGAGGGAGGGACCTGCTCCAGCCTCATGCTAAAATCACCGCCTTTGTCAGGGGCTGCCTGTTTCTAGGTCTGTGATGAAGGATAAATGACTTCCTTTATGGGAATCAAAGCCTTCCCAGCCCTAACTCTCCTGGTGACTTTTGTTAAAATAAAGCCAACACAGATGGCCCTCATCCATCTCTCCGGGCAGGTGGAACCCATCTCCTGTCTCCCCACAGGGCAGATGGGCAGGTGGTACCTGCTGGGGGGACCCCATGTCTTCAGAGACTCCTAACACTTCCCTGTAATGGCCCAATTTCCCTCCTACCCTCTGCCTGGCTCATCCAGCTCACCCAGGGCCCACCTGTGGCTCCTTCTAGAATTACACCCTCCGTTCACTGTGGCCCCTTCTCAGTTCACACCAAAACACGCCTGGTTCCATCATCACCTCCTCCAGGAAGCTCTCCAGGGTGGGCTGGCTACCTTCATGGCCCCCAGGCACTGCTGTCTCATACAGCCACCTGTGCAACTGAGGACACCCAGCAGACAGTACCTCATCACTTCAGTCCCATGAATTCAGGGGCCAGCCTGGCCTAACCCAGTCCACAAACACCAGCCATGTGTACACCATAAGGGTGTGAGGTCCAGGCAACCAAACCCAGTTGCTGACATTTGACTTACACCTACGTGAGCACACAGCATCGGGGCCAGGTCCAGGTGTTATGACAGCTGCACCAATGCTGAGGACAGGACCAGGGCATGGGGATACCATCTCCCCAATCCATCCACTCCCCTCCCAGAGTAGCCCTGACCCAGGTCCTCACATGGGCCACATCTAAAGTGCCTGCAAGAGAAAACCATGGCAGCTGCAGCAGAAACTGATCCACAGCACCAACTGCCCCCACAGGTATCCTGGATACACAAGTCAGGGGGGTCTTCTTCGGTGTGTGTGGGGGGGGCCTGCGGTCTGAGGCTGTCCTTTTGATGGGACCATGGAACCCAGGAGGACATGAACCCCAAGAGGGTTTGGCCCACCTGTAGGTGGCCTGGGCCAATGCTGCTCACAGACCAAGGGGACCCCCACGTGGCTGCAGCCTCCAACTCAGCTGCTGGTCTCTTGCTGAGGACAAGCTTCACTACCCAAAGCCCAAAGCTCACTACTACTAACCAGGCCTCATTCCCCATGAGCACGGGCAGCCAAGGACACTCCTGGTCTTGGATTCTCTAACTGCAACTTCCTGGGCTCCTGCTGAGCAAAGCCTGGGTGATGAGGGACACCCTGCAGAGCCGGACACCCATCTGGGGCACAGGGCCCTGCTGTGCCCACCGTTAACACCCAGGACCCATTCATATCACCCAGCCTGGCAACTTGAAACCTTGTTTGCAGGACAAAGAGCCAATCGGCCAGAGGAAGCCAGGGAGCTCTCTAGGCGCGTTGGCTCCATCAAGTGGGTGGTGCTCTGACACCCAGCGGTCCTCCCTCAGCCTGAATACACCTGGGGTTTGAGACCAGGACTCCCACCAATTCTAAGGCCAAATTTGCAAAACTTGCTGGAAACTTCTGGAGCTCAGCGCTCCGGGGTGTGGGCCCTCCAGGGTGGAGTGCGGAACCTCATCTGCCCCAACCATTTCATGAATGGGGAAACTGAGGTCTGGGTCAGCCCCTGTTCCCCCCGGGCTGCCAGAGGTCTTGTGTCCACAGTGCTGCCCACCGGCAGCTGCCCTGCCTAGATGTCAAATCCCAAACACACTGCTCCGATGGAAGCAGTTCCCAGGGTATCATTTTTCCCAAACAGGCCAAGTTCTGTCTCAAACCGTGCAGCAAAACTATGAATTCACAACCACTCGCTGTCTTTCCTCTGTGGAGAATCAGCCCTCACGTCGGAGGCATGCCAGGTCTCGGTTAACACAGAGGCCTCCCCAGAGCTGATCCTATCCCATCTCATCTGGGCTTCCGGAGCCACAACCAGCACCACCGGCCCTGCCCATAGCCCTTTCCAGGTGACTTGACCCCCACAAACAGCTGCTCCCGTGGTCCCTGCAAGTGC